TGGGTTCGGTTATATGTTGACTTAGGAAACAGTCCTGTATCGTTTCGAGGAAATCCTCTGATACCGAGTTACCCTTAAGGTCAGTCCAATCTATTTGGCCAAGGTTAAAATCGCCTACTATACAGACTTTGTTGTGTATGGAAGCCCTGCGCATTTCATCCTAGATAAGTCGCTCACTAACTCTATCAAGATTGGGAGGTCTATATATTACTCCAATGATTAATTTTCCCTACCGTCGATTAATTCTATCCAAATTGTTTCTGTATTCCGCTCAGTTTTTATTTCGTTATTTATTTCGCACTTCAGATTATCCCTGACATAGATTGCTACTCCGCCTCCTTTCCTGGACGGCCTATCGGTATGGAGCAATTTGGTATTCGACAGGTAACTCAAGTGAGTCTAGGTTGATCCATGTTTCAGTGAATGCTATTATATCGATTTTTTCGGTACATACCAAGGCCCTAATATCATCCATTTGTTTCTCATACTTCTACTGTTCGCGTAGTAGACATTTAAGTTAGTCGTGTTCTGAGTTTAGTTTTAAACTCCCTGTCTAATTTAGCTTTGTCATCATTCCTAACACTTTCCCTGTAATCTTTCACTCTGCTTACCGGCTCCCACTGCAGTCTCCTCCACTCCCGTGCCCATATGTTCCCCTAGCAGTTTAAAGACTTTGATATCTTTTGAACTGCCCCCTCTAGAGACCCAGCCAGGGTTGCCACCCCATCCCGAGACAGGTGTACCCTATTAGGGTGTGTCATAGGAGGGAAGATCAGCTAAAACTAATGGCCCATCACTTTTTTGGTAGATTTTAGTGTATATAAACAGAAAATAATTTCAGTTTCAATATTTTGCAACCTTTTGCTAGGTAAGTTTTAGCGTGAAATTTATCGAAAATCTAACGTACAGCTGCATTAGTGCATTACAATTAAATAGTGAACATGGCTTTCTGACTTCATTCTTTAACAACCCAACTAACAATATATTTTTCTGTTTCAGATTCTGGTGCATTTATAAGTTGATAATATTTGCGATGGCTGCTTGTGTCAGGACGAGGAACCAAAAATCCAGCCATCTCAGTCACTATCTTGGGTCTGGGAGAGAGCTCCTGAAGTCGGAGTTGCCTATATTGAGAGATGCTTTGAGATACGGTGTTTTAATCAGGCAAATCAGTGAAAAGAACCAAAGAACTTACACAAACAAAGACATTGCCAGTGATATGACCACAGTGTCTTGGCACAGTACACTTTGGCTAACGCTCAGTTCAAGCCTCCAGTCATAACAAGTCAGAAGAAAATTAGTGAGAGTCTGCTAGCCAGTTGGGAAAAGGCAAGAGATATCTCTCTTGGGAGAGGAAAACTTGCAGTTAAGGACAGCTTTGCCAAGCAACTGGACCAGTTATTTGATATAATTACTTGCAAGTGCCCAATTGTTCTCTGTCCTGAGTTTGGATGCGATCGTGACTGTAAATCCGAGGCCCACATCTCCTGTATTTGCAAGCGTGAACTGAAGATTCCTGTGATCGAACTGGCATTTGTCAAAGCACAGAGAGAGAAGACTGGCAGTATAGGGGCTCTCATGATTTCTAGCCAAGATATTCCGGAGTCCAAGAGACAGGAGGCTGCCACAGAGAGACAGAAGAGGAGAAGAGTTGCCGAGGAAAAGAGACTTGAGAAGGCCCAGGGTGAGGTAAAAAAGGCCGATGATTGGAGTCAAGCTGATTCAGAGTTTAATGACTTCCCATGGCTGATCCGAGTGCTGACCAGGAGAATGGTGACTTTGTCCCTAACCCAGAAAATAATGATCCCAAACCTTCCAGGCATAAGATTCGAAATAGGAAAGATATCCCGAGCATAGCTCTGGCCAGCATGCGACACCACACTGGTCTCAGAGAAACTGCAGAGATAGCAACAGCTGCCTGGATTGACGGTGGTTTGATAACACCTGATGATGTTCACCTGTGATAGATCATAACAAAGTAAGGAGAGCTCAGAGAAACTTGTCAGTAACCTAGAAGAGGAGCTTGATAAGGGGATAAGAGAAAATGGAATCAATTGTTTGTTCTTTGATGGGAGAAGGGATGACACTAAAGTGTTCATGAAAGTTGGAGATTCTGACAAGTTGTTCCCCGCCATGGTGAAGGAGGAACACTAATCCTGCTGCAGTGAACCACGAGGGAAGTATTTGTGGCATTTCACTCCAAAGAAAGATGACATCAGGAAACCAGCTGAGATAGTGGCAGATAACATTGTGAACTGGCTCAGAGAGAGGAACGTAGACCAGACCCTGCAGGCCATTGGAGGGGACAGCACCAACACGAACACAGGGTGGCAAGGGGGGGTCATACAGTGGATAGAGCGGAAGATTGGGAGGAAGCTGGTCTGGATTGTATGTGACCTCCACACCAACGAGTTGCCACTCAGACATCTGATCCAGGAGCTGGATGGCAAGACTCTTTCAAACAACAGATGGTCTGGTCCTCTTGGCAAGATACTGGACTCTGCCACTGAGTTAGAAATAAATCCGAGCTTTGAAAAAATCACAGTTGGCCCTCCACTCGTTGAGCTTGCACATACTGTCATTGACGACCTGAGTACTGACCAGTACTATGGTTACATGATTTACAGTGCCATCAAAACTGGGGTCATGCCTGATAGACTTGCTTACCTGCAGATAGGTCTAGTCTCACATTCTAGGTGGCTCACAACGGCTCTCAGGTTCTGCAGAATTTGGGTCGCTCATCATAAACTGAAAGGGGAACCAACTACAACCTGAGACTTATTGTCCAATTCATCGTGAGTGTCTACTTGCCAAATTGGTTCAACACCAAGGTCAAGTCATCGTTCTCCGAAGGTCGAGGCATGTTCTCTTCCAGCTTGAGCTCCTGAGGAGTCAGCCAAGGAAGGTTGTTCAGATTGTGGAGCAGACTGTGAGGAGATCTTCCTGGTATGCTCATCCCGAGGCAGTTCTGCAGACAATGCTCTGCAGTAAGGATGAGGAGGAGAGATGAGTGGCAGTCAAAAAGATCTTGGATATGAGACTTATGAGAGGATCTGGGCATGACGAATCAGTTGGTGACGATTCCTTCAGGGTCAGGAAGACTCCTGAAGTCAATCTAGGTGCCAAGATCCTCACTGATCTCATAGATCTGGATAACATCCAGGCTGGCAGTGAGCCCCCTCTTACCTGCAGCCTCACCAATGTTCAAGTCAGAGCTTTCCTGGACAACCCCATGCATGTCCTGCTGGCCTCACACCCAGAGTATAGGCGTTGTGTACAGCAAGTGGCCGAGGCCAGCAGTCACGTCTACAGCCAGGAGGAGGAGAGAGGCTACATCCGAGCTCAGGTGGTCAGCAGGAGGGTGATGAGTAGAAACAGAAGCAAGAAAGACATGTTCTCTATGGTGTGCAGCAACACCGGGTCGTAGTAGTAAAACCGGTTTTGTATTTGATGATTTTGTTTTCTAAAGGAATATTAAATTTAATAAATGTGTCAAGATCATTCGTTTCACTATTCTGGATCATTTTCATCCTAATAAATTAACCTGATACATTTACTTTACTTTAAATAAGCCATTTAGTGGTGTTGGTAAAAGGGTGGGAATACTGAATTTTCATAAGATTTCAAGTTAAAATTTACCTAGCAAAAAATGAAAACTTTTCAAATCTGAAGATATCACATGATTCTGCACATAGAACTACATCATTAATACCATGGGCCGATTTTTCAAACTCAAAAACAAAAATTCGCCTCCGTATGACACCCTAGCACCCTATCCCTAGCATAAAGGTCCCTTCTCCCGTAGAAGTTGTCCCAGTTGTCAATGAATGGGGCTGATATTGACTTGCAATATCTGTCAAGACAGCTGTTGACACCAACTGCCCTTGACAACCATTCATTGCTAACTCTCCTTCTACTTGTAGGCAGGACACCACATATGATAGGGATCCCTCCCTTAGTCCTAATATGATCTATAGCTGTCTTGAACTTATCAAGCTCCTCTTCACTCCTACACCGGCCAATATCATTGCCTCCTGCACTGAGGCAGATAATGGGTTTGTTCCCATTACCAGACAAAATATTGTCCATCCTGTCAACTATATCCCCCACCCCAGCCCCTGGCAAACACACCCTTATCCTATTTTTATTTTTACCACAAAAGCCCCTGTCCATGTACCTTACCTGTGAGTCACCAACAATTAAAGTTTTTATACCTTCCTTGTCATCCCTGTCCCTGGCTGTACTAACATCCAATTCGTTTATCAAGGGACTGAACGAGTTGGTACACTTAACTGTTGTTGACGTTGTCGTCGTATCCTTGGTGTGTTTCTTCACCACCAGTTTGGTCGTCCCTCTCCTCACAACCTTCCATTCCCCAGAGTTATCGGCTTTCCTTGTCTCGTTTCTTCCTTCATCCTTGCCAGCTCTTCCTTTAATTTCAAGTTTTCTTCCTCTAATTTCAGGTTTTTTTCTTTGGTACTCTCTAACTCGGCCCACAGAAGGGCGTAACCCCGTTCACCAGTCGCACTAGCCATATCTGATAATTATCCCCGGGAGCAGAGCTAAGCAGCCGTGACCTTTCCTCTAGTGAGGTCAGAACACAACTTAATTCAACAGCAGTCATACCTTCAACAATTCAATTACCCTGTATATAAAAAACTTCCCGTCACCTTGGCAGAATTCGGCGTCCAGTATTTCAATAAGGCTTACTCGTGTAAAGAAAATAAACTCTGATATCTAATTAAGAACCTCACCTAGTATTTCTGTTCCATAGATTTTTTTTTGTAGTTTGATCAAATATACTGTGTAGCTTCCCTATTCTGATGTGCCTATTGATAAGAGTTGTTTATTACATTATTTAGGATCTAATTTTTCAACATCAAGATTTCTCCCAAGCAAAAACAAAACCGGAATATACAGAGTGGCATCACAAACTTTGATGGTTCATTTAAACTAGACCAACTACGTATTATGATCTAGCGTACCCACCTTAACTCCAGGGTCGTGGTGGGTGGAGCGACGCACGTCACACTGACACAGCCTGGGTGGAGGTGAAGCTGCGTGATGTCAACGACAACCCACCACAATTCACTCGCTCTCACGCCCACGTCACCGTGAGGGAGGACACCGCCCCCGGCACCCTCCTGGCTGCCCTCCCCGCCATTGATCTTGACATGGTAAGTGAAAAATCCTACATGTTATATATAAAGTCTTCAGTCTATTATAATCTATGATATATTGGCTATTATACAGTTCATACACGGATTCAGACATAACAATTTGCATTACAAATTTAAGTGACCATTTAAATAAAAATAGTCAACTTGGAAGTAAGAACCAAAATACCCTCTCTCCATCTCACACATAACATCCCACACATCTCCACACCACCCTCCACCCCCACACCATTCTCTTCGCTAAATAAGGATAATCGTCGATAAGCTTACAGTACAAAAGAAGTTTTTACGAAAAGGGATATTTTTTGTTTTTGTTACACCTTAATGGAAATTAATTCTTGTATGGTAGAATGTGTTCTCATTCATTTAAGACGTCGTTTGCCATCATATAATAGCCAAATTATACTTTAAGTATAAAAAAAAGTTTGATTAAGGAATTAAAATCAATAAACCTTAGTGATGGTCAGTTCAAAACTGATATGTTACACAAATTTATTTGTCAGTGGCCCAAGGTAAAAAATGCTTTGAAAACCTTGGATCTAGATGTAGGATAGTTATTTAGTGGGTCACTTATTTTTTACCTGACCTGACTAGTCACGTCGCCCCCTTCTCTTGGTAAAACGTTACTCTGACCACCTACGTGATACGGGTAGTCCCCATCAGAGGTTCACGGCTCCATAAGCTCGTTGAACAAGCTTTGTGTGAAATATAACAAAGTCTACGACTGCTTTTGTATCCTGGTGGTCCAGCGGTAGCGTTCCCCAGTCACAGTCAAGGGCTCCTGGGCCGTGGGTTCGAATCCTGACGGGTTGAGACTAAAGAGAAATACAAACCAAGGTGTATATATACAGAGGAGGGTGAGACCAGGTCCACAATGGTCAGGTATTAGGTAATGACCCTACTAATCTTTAAATAGCACACAATGGTTGGTGGTCAGATCAGATGGTCAGGTGACCCGACCTTCTCACCTGATTACAAATCTTCTTAATTACAAATTTGTCCAGCTTGTACATGCCGTTACTCAAATTCATGTTGAATGTTTCGGTATGTTTAATAAGACTGGATTCTATGATGTTCCTACTATCAATTGAATTACATGGTAATATTGAGGAGGCATTATCCCCGTCAATGCAATGCTTGTTATCCCTTAAATGAACAAACAGAGCATTGGATTCCTGGCCTGTCCTAACACTGTATTTGTGTTGTTTAATTCTAGTTGCAAGATCTTTACCTGTCTGGCCTAAGTAAAACATATTACATTCCTTGCAAGGAACTTTATAAATGCAACCAATTGTGTTGTTGGGGGAGTTCTTGATTAACATTTGTTTAACAGTGCATGAGTTTTTAAATGCCACATTGACGTTCCAGGTTTTTAGTTGTGAAGGAATGTGTGAGAAATTTTTGTGAAATGGTAAAATTAAGATATTCTTATGGTCATGGGTGGGCTTGGGATCAGTTCTATAAAAAAATTTCTTAGTAATGTTTAGGCATTTGTCTATGGAAGATCTAGGGTATTTAAGGTTTGAGCCAATATTATATATATATTTGTATTCCTCATCAATGAATTTCGGACAGCAAATTCTCAAGGCACGTAAAAACATTGTTGAAAATACTGACTGTTTGACTTTATTATGGTGTGCAGAATAATAATGAATGTATGAACACACATTAGTTGGTTTTCTATAAATACTGAACTTAAAAGTGTTACCTATTCTGTGTATCAGACAGTTTAGGAATGGCAATTTACAGTCTTGCTCTAATTCCACAGTGAATTTGATCGGGGGGGCTAAGTTGTTAAGTTGTGGCAGGAAAGCTTTTAGGTCCTCATTACATGGCCAGAGACATAATACATCATCAACATATCTAAACCAGACTGCTGAAGGTGGTAAAATATTACTTAATAGTTTCTTTTCAAAGAATTCCATATATAGGTTGCTTAATACAGGTGAGAGTGGATTACCCATTGCCATACCAAATTTTTGAGCACAATATTCTCCATTGAATTCGAATTTGCAATCCTTAATACATAGTTTGATGAGTTCGATGAAGTCGTCTTTCGAGACGGGCAGTGAAATATCATCCAGGGAATCTATGAGGAACTCTAGTAAATCATCAACTGGGACCTTTGTAAAGAGTGATGTTACATCAAAACTGACCAGTTTAAAATCATAATTAATGTGTAAGTTATTGAGTTTATCAACCAGATCCATATTATTCTTGATATTGGAGTTAGAAATGTTGCCAACTAGGGGATTTAGTAAAGAAACTAACCATTTAGACAGTTTATAAGGGATTGACCCAACTGAGCTAATGATCGGTCTTGCTGGGTTATTGGGCTTGTGGGTCTTGATTACACCGTACATGTACTGGCAGTGGAGGGGACGTTGAAGTAAGATGTTTAATGAGAGTAGCTTTGCCTCTCAATAGGGACTTCAGTTTTTTGTTGAACTGAGTGTTGACAATGTTGAGAGGATTATTTATGAGTTTAGAATATGTTGTAGTATCACATAAAAGGTCATTCATTTTAGAGATATAGTCATCTTTGTTTAAAATCACTACTGTGTTGGCTTTATCTGCTTTAGTGACATGTAGATCCTTATTTTTCTTAAGGGCTTGGATTGCTTTGGTAATCTTTCTGGGCAGTTTGGAATGCAAGGCTTGGACATAGATGCATACACACCTTTACACATGTTCACTTCTTCACTTGTCAAATTACTGAATTTCTCCAAATTGCAAAATGCTCTGGCTATGTCAACACTGTCGACTCCCTTGTTAGAACCATCAAAACTTAAACCATAGCCGAGGGCACACAAGGTATCATTGTCTACATATAACACCATCCATCATCACTACAGATCGGTAAAGTAGTTTCCGAGATTCTCGTGCGGACACAGACATACTTCTTTGTTATATATATATATATATATATATATATATATATATATATATATATATATATATATATATATATATATATATATATATATATATATATATATATATATATATATATATTTATAGTTTGTTTGAGTGTGTGTGATGGCCGCAGTGTAGTTGAAGCAGAAACAGTTTTCAACAGAGGACTTATTGGTAAGACTTTTTTTCTTGGACTTAGATTATGAATATCCTGGGAACATGGCAAAGTCAAATACATATTATGGTCAACATTCTTGATCATAGAATTACCGCGTAAAAATTTCGTTACACAAACTCACACGTATCATAAGATCCACAAGATTCAGTTGAGCTACTACACATGTTATACAAGACTAGCTGCCCTGTCAGACCGAGCGCTTACCCTCGCCTCGCACTGATACATAACTACCACCGCAGCTTTAAGGGATAGAGTGAGTATTTGATTAACCCAGACTGCTCACAATTATTGACAGTGAGCCTTACCCTCATTTACTTAAAAGCCATCTCCAAATTAGTGAACTTCTCATCAGTGCTCGAGGTTCTTTAACCCCTTGTGTAAAGGAACTCTCTGCTGAATATAATCGTCTGGCGTTAGCCAAATAAAATATCAAATGTAGCATCCAGTCGTGAAGGAGTTACACAGTTTTCTATACAGTGGTTTCAAGCTTAAAGGTAAATATTCTAGGCTTAACTAGATTAAGTGGCATTGAAATGCATGGTAGTTTTGTTTAATGGTGACTATTGAATGATGTTAACTTTAATGGTCTCATAGTATGATCTGATCTATGTTCTTGAGGGTACTCTGCATGATAGTTTAATAAAAAAAATTGGCAATCATGAAAAATATCATGAAATGAAGGCTAGTTTTAGATGGTGAGGTGAGCATTGTCTTGTAAGGTGAGCATTGTGTGGTGAGGTGAGCGATGTGTGGTGAGGTGAGCGATGTGTGGTGAGGTGAGCGTTGTGTGGTGAGGTGAGCGCTCTGTGGTGAGGTGAGTGTTGTGTGGTAAGGTGAGCGTTGTGTGGTGAGGTGAGCGTTGTGTGGTGAGGTGAGCGCTCTGTGGTGAGGTGAGTGTTGTGTGGTGAAGGTGAGCATTGTCTTGTAAGGTGAGCATTGTGGTGAGGTGAGGTGTGTGAGGTGAGTGTGGTGGTGGATGAGCGTTGTGTGGTGAGGTGAGCGTTGTGTGGAGGTGAGTGTTGTGTGGTGTGAGCGTTGTGTGTGAGTTGTGTGGTAAGGTGAGCCTTATTTGTAAGACGAGCGTTGTGCGGTAAGGTGAGTGTTGTGTGGTGAGGTGAGCATTGTCTTGTAAGGTGAGCATTGTCTTGTAAGGTGAGCATTGTGTGGTGAGGTGAGCGTGTGTGGTGTGGGGTGAGCGTTGTGTGGTGGTGAGGTGAGTGTTGTGTGGTGAGGTGAGTGGGTGAGTGTTGTGTGGTGAGTTGTTGTGGTGTGGTGAGCGTTGTGTGGTGCGGTGAGCGTTGTGTGGTGAGGTGAGCGTGTGTGGTGAGGTGAGCGTTGTGTGGTGCAGTGAGTGTTGTGTGGTGAGGTGAGGTTGTGTGGTGGTGAGTGTTGTGGTGAGTGAGTGGTGGGTGGGTGTTGTGTGGTGAGGTGAGCGTTGTGTGGTGAGTGTTGTGGTGGAGGTGAGTGTTGTGTGGTGAGGTGAGCGTTGTGTGTGTGGTGAGCATTGTGTGAGCATTGTGTGTGTGAGGAAGTGTTGTGTGGTGAGGTGAGTGTGTGTGTGGTGTGTGAGGTGTGTGTGTGAGGTGAGCTGGCGTGTGTGTGGTGAGGTGAGTGTTGTGTGTGGTGATGAGCGTTGTGTGGTGTTGGTGAGGTGAGTGTTGTGTGGTGAGGTGAGCGTTGTGTGAGGTGAGCGTTGTGTGGTGAGGAGTGTGGTGGTGAGGTTGGGAGTGTTGTGTGGTGTGAGTGTTGTGTGGTGGTGAGTGTTGTGTGGTGAGGTGAGCGTTGGTGGTGAGGTGAGTGTTGTGTGTGTGTGTGTGAGGTGTGTGTGGTGAGGTGAGCGTTGTGTGTGTGAGTGTGTGTGTGGTGGCGTTGTGTGGTGGTTGTGTGTGAGCGTGTGAGGTGAGCG